TAAAGACCTTCGCAGGATGAACCACGCGCTTTTAATGAAGCTAGGGTGGAAAATTAAGTAAGACGTGTTCCTGTCGCCCAAACGCATCCAATCCCTCGTCGATTTCTGGAGAAGCAAAATCTCCTCCTGGAGGATCACCTCATCCAATTCCGTTCTCAGCTCCTTTTCCAGCGCCATGAGTTTAGCCGAGAAATAGAGATTTCGGCTTCTCTGAATTCCCCCTATGCGTGCGAGAAGTCGTTTTTTCCGGTTGAAAATATTACCGAAAACAGTGGCATTCCAAGCACTAGCCTGACGTGCGAACTGCCGAGCCGCATCTATGAAAGGAAGAGCTGGTTGCCAGGAGTTATTTAACATATCTTGGAAATCCGAGTGAAGGAGCCACGATGCTAAGAAACGGAAAGGCTTCACTCCTTGCACAACGCAGTCCAAAGGCCCATACGATACCATAAGAGGAGAGTGGTCGGATTGAATGCGGGGAAGGAGCCGAACCTTACTCGTCTCAAATTTGTCCATCCAAGCGGTGTTTGCTACAAATCGGTCTAGTCTCTCCATAATCCGCCCCGACTGGCCATTCCTGATCCACGTGAATTTGTGACCATCCGTCATCACCTCTTGTATCCCGTTGGAGAACATCCAGTCCGCAAACTCCTTGCTAATATTACTAGGGTGACTAGATCCCCCCAGTTTTTCGGACGGGTGTAATAAGCAATTAAAATCCCCACCTATAAGCCAAGGATCCAAGTTACTCATAGCAATTCTCTCTAAAACAGGCCAAAGTCTTCGGCGGTGTGAAGGATTGGGACTCGCATAGATAAAAGAGATAGTGCAGGCCTTGTCGTCTCTTCCTTCCCTGACATGCACCATTTGTCGAGAGAACTCCAGAACTTCGACGTTCACCCTGTCCCTCCATAAGAGCCAGATACCACCAGAAAAGCCTCGGGCCTCCACGCGAAAGGAATTCTCAAACTTGCTATAACGAACAAAGGCATCGGCAGCTGCCCCACTAATTCGTGGTTCATAGAGTGCTACTATATCCGGATTGTGTTGTCGGGTAAGAGTTGAAAAGGCTCCACGAAACGCAGGTGACCCAGCCCCTTGAACGTTCCAAGATATTATATTCATGGATAACATGCACAAGCAAAACCCTTAGCTCTGGGATTAATCAAGGACAAGATCGTGCGTCCCATGATCGCCTTCTCGGTACATGTGCTGGGAGAATTCCCCCAAGCCTGCTAACGGGTGATCACTGTCCAGATGCTCCTCTGGCCAAGGTTCTTGGAGCTGGACCTCGTGCTCACCATCCGACATCACCGCATCACCGGCGTTGTCGATTATCGGGGCACGGAGTATGCTTTGGTTGGGACCCGGGCTGGAATTGTCGTCATCAATTATTATGGCCTTATGTTTCGATGGATCCAATCCTGCTCCTACACTAACTGGGCCTGTGGTGTTCTGTAATGTCTCGTTATTCGAAGGGCCGGATATGTTTGTTGCGCTCCGCTTAGGATCAATGATTTGATGTCTATGTTGTTGGGCCTGAATTACTGTCCTTTGGTCTCCGCCTTTGGGCCCAGTCTGTTTCGCAGGTCCAGGGGTATGTGTATCAGGCCTGCTTTGTGTCGTAGACCCGTTAGCGTGGGCCTTGCCCTTGTTCCTTCGAGTAACTGTTTGCCATTCCTTATCTTCCGAGTTTCCATTATTTCGTTTAGGTAAGCTCCTCATTTCGTTAGGATTCTCCGGTAATTGAGTGCGAAATTCAAATGCTTGGTGATTCTCTTGGTAAGTTTCCTTCCCCAGCACATCAAATCTCGATCCATGATTGGAAATACGCGGATTTTTAGCAATCTGATTTGGCCCTTTATCGCGCCGGGGATATGGTTGTCGAATTTTTTGGGGGACCTGGATCCACGGGCCGTACGTCGGGTTGTCGCCGTTGTTACCCGACTTAGCTTTGGCGGGCGAATTGGCGTCGTCCCTCTGCGTGTTCTTTGAGTGATCTAAGTGAGGGTTTACAGAAGAGCTTGGCTTCTCATGATTGGGCGGGAGGTGGAGGCAAGAAGAGCTGGAATGACCTAGTCGTCCGCATTGAAAACAAATGACGGGCATATTTTCGTACACAACCCGTTGTTGTTTACCGTTAATGGAAAAACTCACACATAGAGGCTTGGTAATGTCGACAACCACCGCAAGCCTAGCAAACTTTCCCCGGGTTAGAGCTGCCGTCTGCTGATCCACTTTGACAACCTTACCTACTACTCGGCCAATAGTGCGAAACACTTTGTTGTGATAGAGATGAACCGGCATTCCGGGTAGACGGATCCACGCAACCGTGGATGTCACTTCTGCTTTTGTAGCGTCGAACTCGGTGGTCCACGGCTGAACATGCATATAGCCATTTCCAATAACATAGGGACCACCCGTTAGCACCTTAACAGCGTCCTCATGAATTCTGAAGTGGATGAGGTAGAAGCCGTTCTCCAAATCCATCATGTTGCATCCGGCCATGAACGGCCACAGTTTGGTCAACC